CATCTCCTCAATGAGCTTCTCCAGCTCCTGCAGCTCCTCCTGGACCTGCAATACTTCAAATCTTTTCTGACAAAGCTTGGGCCTTCAGATGGAGGTACCGTTTCCCTGACGTCTGGAGCTGGTCGCGTCCGCAAAACCAACCAATGAATCTCATTTCTCGTTGCGAGCCTTGCCGGTCAGCTGCTCTCGCTCCAGCCGTGCCTTATTCGCCCAAGGCAACAACATATCCAAGAACCACAGCGCTACTCGGCTGGCTTTCGTTTGGGTTCGCTGCAGCCTCCAGAGCGTCGCGTTCGGCTTGAGCCTTCGGAGGCACGAAAAACAAACCTTGCCCTAATCAAGGCCTCCTGGGATAGTTGAGCCTGGCCTCTTTCAGAATCTCGTGGCTCGTGATGAGCTCTTGCTTCAACTGCGGGTGGGAAAGCTTCAGGCTTCGTAGTAGACCATGAAAGGTGGTCTGCCCGACCTTGGCATCCTCCTCCTTGAGCTTGGTGTATGTGTCTTGGACCTTAGCCACTCATGCGCCAACTGGCAGGTGGGGCGGATAGCCCCCCAGGTCAGGCGTTTGGTTGCTCCCAAGGCGCTGAAAGGTTTGCGCTCGGACAGCGGCAGACTGTGCAGAGTGCAGACTGGGCCGCAAACGGAGTGGATTTCCTTGTGGAGCTTGTGCAGCTCAGCTTCCCTGCAACGCACAGCAAACGCAGAACCGAAAGCCGTGGGAGCCATGCCACTTTGAACAGGAAGTCTTGCATGCGAATTGAGGCTTAGCTCAATATTGCCGGCTGCACGCATTTCGGATCGCGATCTTTTTTTGATTCCTTGGCTCAAAAAAGGCTGACTTGCCTTGGCCGGAGGGTCACATGCATGCCTTCGGGCGCGACACGTGCTGAACAAGTTGGGAAGGCTCTTATTGATTTGGCGATGCAGGCAAGCATCATTGATTCCACATATTCGACCTCATTTTACAGGACAGGTCCTGGCCGCCGTGGCCCTCTGCACCCCAAAGGACATTCTGCATGACAGCATGACCGAATGTCCTGGACATGGTCATGGACTGGCAGAAAGAGGCACAGCGTCAGATGCGCGCTGAGTGCCCGGCTGAAGAGGCCTTTGTAGCCTCTAGCTGTGCTTGGGCATCTGCGATCTGCCTCTCCACCTCCGCCAAGCTCTTCGAGGCTCGCATGTCCTGAAACAGGAAGACGCTCGGAAGAGGCGCAGCCCGTCTCCGTGGCAGCTCTCGCCTCGTGAAGCTTGATGAGGCGTTTATGGTCCTGGCACGACGGAGAGAACCTAAACTATGTATTATAGCGATGTACCAAACAGAAAAAAACTAACAAGGTTTTCTCTCCAACTTCCAAGACGGACACTCCCCGGCCTCCATGCCCTCTAGGACGACCCGCTCAGCTTCAATTAGCTGTGCTGGGTCCACCTCCCAGCTCATCAAGAACGACACGAGCGGAACGAGATTCTACTCTAAAGCTTGGGGCGGGCTCGACGCTACCAGTAGACCAGATGTCTGAGGATGGCTACATCTCCCTCCAAGAGGCTTGCAAAAGCACCGCACCTGGGGCTCTCTGATTACCGAAGCTGTGGAGTTAAGAACTGGGCTGCTGTTGGAGGGTGTTTCAGTATTCACAGGCCTATCTCGCAAGTTTCCAGCAAAGCCTCTGCGGTTGCCAGCGGCCGAATCTCAGCCTCGCACTGCTCAAACTGCACCTGCCACAAACAGCGAAGCTATGCTAGGGCGCCCAGTAGACCCAAGGATGCAACGGGAGGGGCCGACTGCGTGGCCAACCTGCACTGCTCTATTTCGAGCTGGAGCTCTTGCAGCACTGCCTGGGTTCCATATTCAATTGCGGTGTCGGGCAGCTTGCAGCGGAGCTGCTAGTCTCACAAGCTCTTCATTAAGTTTCGCATCATGAGCTGGCCGGATAAACCGACGCAAACTTTGAGAACAAGGGGCTCAAGTACAAAAGGCCGCATCTGCCAAGAAGGTGGTTGCTGCAAGCCAGCATGCCGTGACACGGGGGACGAGGAGCTGGCAGTGGTAGGATGAGGGAAGTAGCGACTATCCCGGTCAGGAGGCTTCATCCTCGTGGCTTCTTGATCCACACTTCCTTCTGCACCGGTGCTGCATCTTGCCACCTGCCCTGTACCATGCGCTACCATGAAGTAGCCGAAGCCCAACGGAAACCCTAGCAGGAACCCTTGAATACACCCCTTAAAGGATGCAGTTTTGGCAGCGGGCCTTGGGCCAGAGATGAGGTCCCTGCACTGGTCTCTTGGGAAAGCCTGCCTCCAGCATCAGATTGGCCAGGCCAGGCATGTCCGCATTTGCAGGGGGTTGGGCACCCCCGCGCAGCAGCTCCTGGGATCAGCACGTAGACTACTTGAGTGAAATGAGGCATTGTGGAGAGTGGGAGAGATAAACACCAAGTTTCATGGTCCACCAGTATAATTGCGTGCATCGCACATCTTGCGACACCGAGGGCCGCAGTCTATGATAAAATTGGTTGGTATAGTGCCAATGTCAACATGATGATCTTCAACCGATTAAGCTATTGTAGAACTGCTACGGTGTCGAAGTTGTCGATGATCCTTGACGCAGCTCATGGACTTGTTCTGGATGGCCAAAGACATCGGCAGCGACCCATCACCTTGACAGCTTGCCAAGCCAAACTGAAGGTAAGCTGGGAAACGAATAGCACCCGCAATTGATCCAAACAAACTGCTTGACTTCTCTGCAACAGGAGAAGGACATTGAGCCATCAACTACCAGCCGGTTTGCACTGGAATTGGGAAATTGAGTGCGGTGTGCACTTCGAAAGGTCTTGCGCAGGCTGACGACAGTGGAGGGAGGGGCTGGATGTGGAGGAAGCAAGCGCTTAAGTAGGAAGTGAAGTCGACTCGGCAAATCAACTCAAAGTCAGCTGGCAACACCGTCCAGACCTAGAGCCGAGATGCCATCAGGCTTCGACACGTCGGCCCGGAGGGACACCATCAACGCGATGGATTCTGCCAAATTGCTTCCTTAGCTGAAGCCCAGTCCGTCCACGGATACACATATAGGCATTTCCATCTGTGTGTACCCATGTGCACGCACCTGCATATACATCTATATCTACATGTTCTTACGTACGCGTATGCATGCTCTAAGTAAAGAACTTAAGGATCTCTCTGTTCCCAACTCTGAGCTTTCCGAAGTCAGGACAAGTGGCGACAGCAGGCAGGCAGGAGGCGGTGGCCCTCCTTGTCCGAACCTTTGGGAGAGCTCAGGGGGTACAAAGATGCCGGGAGGGCTCTCTGCCGGTTTTCGGAGGTTTCTGAAGGATTCAGAGAAGTTCACAAAAGGCTACTGCTCTGCTTCTTCTGCTTAAGAATGGTGACGCTTCTCCTTGCCTTCATCTGGGATTGAGGCCAAGGGCGCTGAACGACAACGAAGGATGTGTCTAAGGACCAGGCAGGTCAGAGGTGCTCCGGCCTCCAGAAAGGCCTGCACGCACTCCGCCTGAACAGGAGCGTTCACAGGACGCCCAGGGCTATATACTCTGTACGAATATGTGGCTTGCGGTCGTTCGGGTAGCCTGCTGCGCAATGGCAGCCCCCACGCAGGCATTCTGGACCTGCAGGCCCGAAGCTAACAGGAATCGGTGACTCAGTGAACCCACCGCATCCCACAGAGCCTTGGCGGATTCGAGATCCTGACCTGCAGAATCCCATGCAAGGCAGCATGGGTGCTGCTCCTACAATCACTACATCGGAGTTGTGCAGGCAGCTGCACATGCAGGTGTCAGCAAAGCAAATACAGACTTGGATTTTTTGCTACGAGTGACTGGGCACCCGGGCACTTTTTCAGCAGCGCTTTCACCTTCGGGACATTGCCGGATTTCGCAGCCTCGCCCAAGTCTTCTGCCATGGCAACGGCCGAGGGGCAAGTTCGTAAAGATCCTGTATTGTGGCAGTTGAACGAAGGGGTGGTTATGAGGTGTCTACATCAATTGTAGACTGTATCCGCCTCTTTGCCTTTCTCCTTCGAGGAGCACGGGCGCAAATCCTTGCTGCTATGATCTTTAAGTCGTCTTTCTTTCGGCTTTCATTTCAAACCAGGAACAGAGTATTTCTTGTCATCATAGCTCGTCTGGCTGCAACGTCGTGTCCCTCTGGTAATGTTTGCTGTAGCTTTACATGAACTCTTGTCGTAAGGTCTGCACTGGCAGTAATATTAAGTGCGCCGTTTTCGCAACTGAGATTGTGTTGCCGACTCGCGTTTGGGATGCTTCATCGGCACGGCGCAGGTGGCACTCAGGTGTTCTGAAACTGCTGGGGCTTGAGCATGTCAGTCGCCTGCCGGCTCACTTATACCATGGCAATCATGTATACGTTCATACATACTATGTTCTACGTTGTTTATAGATCAATATGTATATATATATACACACAAGTATTAATATACATACCGATGTTCTGCATGTGTTTGCAATAGCAAATCGCAAACTCATTTTCGGGATCTTTCTGAGAGCGACTCGATCTCGACCAGCCCTCGAAGGGCAGTGTGCTGCCTTCTGCGCTTGTTGCAAGGCCGGTATCAAGGCACCAGCCTGGCAACCTATCGCTATGATTATAACAGAACTCATATGCCTATGTATATATATATATAGTTATATAGATATACACACAGTTATCATATAGATATCATACTTTCACACTAAAGTTATCATAATAAACCTTTAGTACAAGTTACAAGTTTTTGATATGACCATCAGATCAGGATAATCAAAGAAAGCGTATAATCGGGGTACAACATGGAAATATTATCTGTACGATTTTTCTTGCTAGCCATTTCCGAATGATGCAGGTTTCACAACGCAGAAGTGAGGGCTACTCTGACATGCAGCCAACGTGCTGGCCACAACTGGCCCTTTTTGTACTGCACCCCTTTGGAGTGTCGAGTGTCCGAGTATTTTGAAGTTGTACATATAATGATTGGAGGCCCTTGGCCCCTAGGTCACATGCTGTGCGGAGGCATGCTGAGGCCTTGCAGCATCGACCTGTGTGAAACGTTTTAAGGATTGTGTCCTCTGGACTGGAACATCCCTGGACATGTCACTCGTCAACCTCGGCTTGCGCAGGTGGCGCAAGAAACCCAAAGACTGACTGGATCTACCTCGCTTCCGGATGTTCAGGAAATTTGCTTTTGAAGGTCATGGAAGGAAACATCTTGAAATGCTTTGCCAGGAAGGCAAGAAGAGCTTACCTGATGGCTACCAAACCTTAAGCCATCTCGGGTCGGTGCAAGGTTTGAGAGCAAGCCTGCCTGTGACACCGGCGAGGAGTCTTGGACCTGCTCGGTCCGCCCGGGCGCAGGAACTGTGATAGGAGGGACCCCTAATCGTAATAGCCTATACAACCCTTATATACCTTTAGTCCCTTGAGCTATGATGTCGCCAGCCTCTGCGAGCACCACGGCAATATCATCCAACCTTGGCCCATTCGGTGCCACGGGCCGAACTTCAAGCCCTTTCATCCAAGGCCGCGGCTTTCCGCCCGGGCCGAACTCCATGGGCGAACGGGCCTGGGAATCACGGGATCCACCGCTGCTGAATCGCTACATAAAACCCAAGTTCTTGGGCTGCCACCACGTCCGCAGCCCGCGCCAGAAGCCTCAAACTGCCACGCCATTCAGAAAAGCGAGGCAGATCCCTTCCGCCTGAGCACATGAAGCTGAGGCCTCTGCGCGTCGGCCATCTCTTGTGTCGAGCTGGCAACACTTGCCGTGCGCCCTGATGCTCGTGGTGGCCGTCCGAGCCCTAGAGTCCCTGTATGTCCCTATGGTTGGGACACCAAGGCCCTTACTCTCGTGGTGCGTCAGCGCAAGGGACTTGAGCTCCAAATCCTCCCGTTCCAGCTTGGGACTGAAGGATGCAAAGGCCACTACCAGTTAGTACGAGTAGAGCTTAGTACGAGTCATAAATGATTCAGGCTCTGATGGTCCCCGATGTTGTCGAAGAGGCCATCTGTCCCGGCAATCAGGATGTCACCTCTTCTGAGTTTCAACCTGCGCGCATCACATGTCGACGAGAGGTGTGGAGTTTTGCTGTCATGCTGCTGCTCTGCATCAGTTTCGAATATGCCACTGCAAACAGTAGCACATGCAACCTGTCCCTTACATGCAACCTGTGGCCTCTCAGCACGGCAAGGATTCTTTCTTCAAATGTCAGTGGCGCATAGCAGTCATAACAAGGGTGAGGCAAGGCTGCAGAAAACCAGGTCGAGCCAGGGTTGCCCATGGAACTTCAAAAGCTCGTGTCATCTATAAAGGTGCTTGTAGTTTCGACCTGCGCGGGCAACCCTGGCAGCCTGGCAGGAATACGAATTGTGTACAGGGCACAGAAGCGATTCTGGAACCCTATTCGGGCAAGAATGATGCCTTCCAGGCCTCTATCGTCACACTCTTGGCGACACTTCTCGGAGTTGTTGCAAAAGGCACACATCCGAGAGTGTGTCACATCATCAAGCCTGACATGCGCATGCCAAGCTTTCAGGATGCCTATGCGCAGGCAATGGAGGCTGCCTGCTCGGCCTGCATCGAAGCACCACCGATGTAAATCGAAGCAGACTCACCTTGTTGGCTCGGCTTCCATGAAACAGGAAACCCGTCAAATGCGGTTTCTGGTGCTGAGGCTTCCACTCGCAGCTTCGACCTTCTTGATCTCGGCAACCAACTCTTTGAGCATTCGAAGGCCGTCGGGGCCTCCACTGGTAGTCGAAGGCTTCAACGTCTCCAATGCGAGGCTACTTGGCATGTGCCTGGACACTGCTTCGGCGGGGAGTCGCGTACTTGCTTCATTCGTTCAACATCCGCTGGCCCAAAGACTTCGCTCGGGCCTCGGCGTGTCCAAGCAGCTTCCTAATCACCCGAAGACCTTAAAACCTCGGGAACCGAGCAGACCGCAGCGGCAAAAGGAGGGCCGGGAGGGCTATGCAATGTGCAAGTTTGTCGGGACTGCCCTTCTCGAATTTTTCACTTCAGGAACCTGCGGACAGGCAAACTTTCAGGAGTCATCAGCGAAAGATAAGGGAGGGATCCAGGCTCGAGAATTAACTAGCAAACTAGCAGTCCCAGTGAGTTTGCACATCCGTGCTGTTGGAAGGCTGTCTCCCTGTCACAAGTGTGCACGGAACTAATAACGAAGTTGCACAAACAAGCTGCTGTGTCGGGGTGACGATGAGTAAGAAAATGATCTTAGCTTCCAGTACCTTGTGACTTTGCCTCGGCTTATGCACTGAGTTTGCTTGCCAGACTGGAGGATTGACTCCCACAACGTCGTCGGCAGAGACTGCTGAGACTGTGGCTGAAGCCTGGCAGAACTAAAGATGCATTCTCACCTTCAGCGGCCAGGGAAAAAAATACTGAGGGTCTCGTGAACAAGCCGAAGTCTCCGTCTAAGGCTTTGGTTCTCAGGCGTCGGCCCTCAACGGGAGAGACCAAGAATATGTTGCAAGTCCGGCCTCAGGGTAGCCAAAATCAACAGAACCCTTTCTGGGTTCTTGATAAGGAACAAAGTTTGAGGGACTGCAGTCGGTGTGTGTGTATATATATAAATTATATAATATGTATGTATGTATCATAGATACATACAGTACTAACAGTTCAGACATGCCACATCTAAGGGCATACATGCTATTTGTCTCATGCCGTGGGTTCCTCCTCAGCCTCTGTTATCGTCTATCTTTGTAGCAAATGACATTGTTTCCTTACTATGGTGCGGAAGCAACAAGAGCGCAGCTGTGCATTCTGCAAGGTGTCGTGGCCGAGGACCCAGCGTGATTTTCTCCGGGCTTTTGCAGTGAGTATCTGCCAGGTGGACAGTTGCCAAGGTCAGAGTGCATCATGGCTCTGCAAGTCGGGCGCAACATTTGGATTTGTTCTCGTGGTGCTGTCAATTGTCAACTCCAGGGGCCACCGCAACTGAACAAAGCTGTGGCTGGTCATCCCGAGCCTTCTGCAGCTTCTTGAAAACTTGATCCCTGGCGGAGAGGACCTCTGTCTCTGTAAGAAGGAATGCCATGCTACCTCACGATCGCCGGAGCCTGTGAGGACCGCACCGAGCTGGCATCGCTGTCACGCCTTGCACGCTGCCTCGACAGGATTTCAGCGACAACACGGCTAAAGATCCCTTGTCAAAAAGGCTGGGATGCAGGCTGCTCAAACGCTGCGGCATCTAACGGTCCGTCGACGGGTGATGCGCTTTGCCACTTTGTGCCTGTACACTCGCGAGGAGCAGAAAGAGGGATTGTTCGCGAAGTTCCCTTCTCCCAGCCTTGGTGCGCATCCCACAAGTCCCCGTCGGACTGTTCGCTTTCGTCGCCTTCCTCAGTGTCGTCTGAACCATCCTCCTCCGTCTCATCCTCCCCGGAGTCCTTCCTTTCCGCACCTTCATCCGTCTTCACAGCGGCTCCTGTTTCAAGCCGCACTTGCTGCGCAACCTGGCAGCAGCGCCCACGGAGATGCTTCCAACTTCATGCTCCCCTGCAGTTCGATACACAAAACGAACGAGCCTGCGTCTCCTCCTCGTCGATCGCTTTTAGCCACAGCTTTGCATACAAAGGCTTTAAATCCTCTATCTGGTCATGGAGCTTGAGCTGTTGGCACCAAAACCTTGCAACATCAAGTCGCCAAGTGCGCAAAGGACTTGTTTGACTCCGCGGTTCACGCCTAGACCTGTCCCGATACTCGCTTGACGCCTCTACGGGTAGAACATTGAATTGACTGCCCACATTGAATGTGGAAGATCAGTGCAAGTGGTGGTAGTGATGGTGGTGCTGGTGCTGGTGCTGGTGGTGGCGGTGGTCGCCGTCGTCATCCTCGTCGCAGTGGTAGTGGTGGTGGTGGTGGTGGAGGTGGTGGTGGTGGTGGTGGTGGTGGCAGTGGCAGTGGAAGTGGCAAAAGCGTCGACAGGGGCGGTGGCATTGGCGGTGGTAGTGGTGGTGGTAGTAGTAGTAGTAGTAGTCGTCGTCGTAGTAGCAGTAGTAGCAGCAGCAGCAGCAGCAGCAGGAGTAGTAGTAGTAGTAGTAGGAGGAGGAGGAGGAGGAGGAGTAGTAGTACTATTAGTAACTAGTAGCAGTAGTCGTCGTGTAGCAAGACATAGTGCAGATTGGCATTGCCAATTCTTGTCGTGAGGTCGCTAGCCGTTAGCATGTGGCGCTGGCACTGCTGCTCGTGGATGTCGAGGCAGTGTGGCTGTGACTGTGGCGTGTTTATGGAGGGAGTAGAGTAGAATTAGAAGTTCCAGAGTACTTTCGGCCGGGGAGCTGCTGCTGAGCCTTCAGGAGGCTGTCTTCAGCGGCGTTGCTGAGCCCATGGAGGGAGCTGGCCCTTGAAGCGGTGCGTGTGGGCTCCCCAAAAGCAACTGGATCTACAGCCACAGCCCTATGCGTACCCCTCCAGGATCCGAACTCACTGCCTCAACGCAAGCCTAGGCCCGACACTTCCGTCTTTGGGGCGTCGCACCATCGTTCAGCCTCGGTGGAAAGATTAAGTTTGCGTTGCCCAGGTTTTCCTGCCCAAACCCCCCTGTGCGATAAACTGGAACTTCAACAATTGGGCAATTGTGTTTGCATCTCCGAGGGAGCTGAACGAGACTCGTGACTTTGAGAAGTTTAGCCGGTCGCACTGCTGCTACGCTGCTGCCAAGCTTCGGCAGATCCAAGGAAGCGGACTCGGAAGTGAGGGCTGCCTGTCGATCGCTGGGAGCATCGGGCTAGATCATATCTAACGCCAGCAGATCATTCGTATCTGATGCACCTGCGGAGGAGCCCCGCATGGCAGCCACACCAAGTCCTGAGCTCCGAGACAGCGTGGGGAATACGAATACCTCCGGCTCTTCTCCGGATAGAGCTCTGACTATTTTCCCTGAGGTTTCGGCGATTTTGGGTGGGTCGCTGTAAACTTGCTTCGGATAGCCTCAGATTCCCGTCTCAACGCGCAGAGAACTTGCCGTTCGGCCTCCCAGTGCCGAATGTCGAAGGCAGCTGAGCCCGTGGCCTTTTTCGGACATTTCGGCCTCCGGATTTCTCCAAGAGGCTGCTCGGCTGCAAGATGCTGCGGCAGGCACAGATCACTGCAAATGGCCGAGGCTGAAGTCATGAAGAACGAAAGCTGTGCGGCGTCAAACTGTGGACGCAGCCACACGCACACAGAGGGTCTAATTGAGTTTCCCTTCTGTTCACGGATTACATCGAAAGTGCATCTGACCGAGGAAGGCTGTTGCGCACGTGACCAGGTCGAAGTAGTCAGTGAGGCTGGAAACATCCGGATCCTCGGGTGCAGCTGTTTCTGTACTTCAGTCTTCAACCATGCGGCCCATGTTGCTGCGGCAACCAAGCTATGTACTGGACAGAAAAAACCATTCTCCTGCGCGCTCAGCTGCAGGGGCATGTTCGTGCGATGGAGCATTGGTGTCGACCTCCACTCCAGCACGAACCGACAAACGCCGACAGCATCCAATGCGCGGACATTCCGGGCATTGCTCGAACCTTCTGGAGTTTCTTGGTAAGACTACAGGCGCGCAAATAAGACAGACTCAACTAGATCTGTGTCTGAACATGGCCGAAGTCTTGACGATCCAGCCTGTATATCAGGCGCATACTCGTTTTCACGGTGCCACCGTGAAATCTGGGCAGGATGGAACAAGGCCTCCGCGCAAGCAGTCTGCGCTTCGGCTGCGTGCTGCAATCCGCTGCTTCGGCAGCATTGCAGGTCAATTTGGTCATATTCGGATGCTGGGCACAACAAGAAGCCGCTGCCTTAATGCCATTATTCCACAATCGCCCAAGTTCAGCAACGAGATCACGTCCTCAGTGTTCTCATCGGCGCATCCCTAATGCTCGCATCTTACCTCGGAATTTTTTTGCTTTGTCGATCAGTCGCACGACTATGACTATGACCTGAGGTGAATGCAGCAGCATGGTGATGTGGACGAGGTCACCACTTCGCTTCATTGCTCTCAGAGTAACCTCAACAGCTCTGAGGTCTTTGCTTGCTGCAGCTGCCCCAGGAGCAGTGTACAGCTGCCTTCGAGACTCCTCGGCACGCAGCTCTGGTCAGGCTTTGATATTATTGTTGCCATCATTATTGTCGTTCTTATTTTAGTATGCCATGATTATGATTGCTTTTGTTACTGCGACAGCTACTATCATTGTCATTCCGGTTCTTTCTGCTACTACCATCGTTATTTCTACTATTGGTGCATAATCATAGCAGTAGATGAAGTAAGATATCATAACAAGACTGGCTACGGTCAATAAGCAGGATGTCTTGACACATGATGCATTCTTCTTCTCGCTGATACTACGACTACGACGACGACGACGACTACTACTACTGCTGCTGCTACTGCTCCTACTCCTACTCCTCCTGCCACGGCTGCTGCTGTTCCTCCTCCTCCTCCTCCATTTGCTGCATCCTGCTGGATGCTATTGTGATCATATTGGATACTGTCAGATCATGTTCGACAAGATCATACTCGTATACACATGCATTGTGATATACCGTGGTATGCGGTTTTATACCGTTAGAGATTCTTATACATAAATGAATATATGTACATATATATATATACACATATCTAGACTATGACATATCATGATGTGTTGGTATTGCTGCAACCTGACATCAGAGGTAGACTTGGGAAGACAGAATTCTGCTGATCTCAAGCAGCCGCATGTTGCCACTGACATGTGGAGTGAGGGTCTGTTTCCCGATGCTCAGAACCAAGCTTTTCTCGAACAGCCTGCGTGCAGGAAATCCGAGTTCGGCGGGTTCGCACAACATGCGACAAAGAAACCCAGAATTTAAAAACCTACTGCCTCTTTCTCTCCCGCTCCTTCCCACTTGCATCGTGCATGGCCCCTTGGGACCTGAAAAGCTTCAACGGCCACTCCGGGGAGGTCTGGGCGCTGCATTGCGCTGGCGCGCTGCCTGGCAAGCTTTGTCGGATGCGGATCTGCTGCACATGCTGTACACCCTGGGGTTTAGGGCTTTAAGGTTTAGGGTTACACTATACTATATTATACTATACTATACCATAACTCTACGACTCCGATTCCTGCAGTGTCCCTTGAAGACCCCTGATGCAGGCACCTCATGCACTCGAAAGCGCTATGAAGCCTGGGCAGGCAGAAGTGCCGAGAAACTGGCTTGAGAGAAACCAGCGTATTAAAAACACATCACATTTCTTGTCCCAAATTCAGCATGCTTTATATGTCACATACTGCAACTTTATGGACTGGCCTTGTCAGTCGTGCCTTGACTAATCGTCTCCATATCATGCATGAATGCAAGCCTATTGAGCAGTGTTGCAAACTGAGTGCACCTCCCTGCCACTGAGGCACGCACAAGGCACGGGAAAAGAGGCCAGCATCTACGCCCTGCCATGGTCTGCTCTGAGCATCTGCACACAGAAGCTTCGGGGTTGGTCCGAAAATCTTGGGCAGCGACTCGGTCCGCCCAGCCACCCACTCCGTCTGCAAGACCAAAGGCAGAGATTGGCAGCGAGGCCTGCAGCTGCGGAAAACGAGGCTCAGACCCGCCGCAGAGTACTAAAGACCTGCCCAGGCTGCGCATCCCTTATGCTGAGCTGAGCTTGCGGCGAAAAACGCATCTTCACCTTTGTGTCCATCCACCTGAAAGATTCCTAAAATGACTGGACCGTGACATAGACTCCAAAGCATATCAATGAGTCAGACCTTCGGAATGCAACCGGCGCCCAGGCTCAGTCGCAGCCTCCTGAATGCTCACATCTCGGGCTCGGGTGTTGGCATTGGTTCAATATGTGCGTGACAGTGGTGTGTAGGTTTGTACCATCGTGCTTGGAAGCTTAGACGCCTCGGCAAAGGCACAAAGGATGACTGCAGCACCTTCGCAACTTGGATGCCCAAACAAGAGGAGGTAAGATTGCTGAAGTCCTCGGCTCAGCTGCAAACCACCTGCAAAAAGCAAGCACGCCAACTGCGTCCAGTTTGGCATCAGCAATGCCCGCCTGGCGCCGACGGCATGCTTTAAGCTGCGCTGACCTTGAGGATGCATGACCGGGTCGAGACAGGGACAGTCCCTCTTCAGTGCCAGAATCTCAGAGCCGTGCGCAGGGCTGCCATGGAAGTCGAAGTCACGTCCCACGGTCACGTCGGCTACCAATGTTGGATCCCAACTGGAGGAGGGCTTCTGCTTTTGCTGGACTCTGTCTGTGCTCGGCTGGGAGCTGACTTGTGCGATGGCTGCAGCATGTTTTTGGCATGGGGTTGTAAGTGATGGAAATGATGTGCGAGCACCTCTGCCTCCAAGAATAATGGAATAGCGGTGTCTGCTCGATTAGCTCTAAGACATGCAGCACGAGTTGCGTCATGAGCTTGTTTGAGTTGAGCTGAGCAAAGCTGCAAGTATCCGCACTCAGGTGCTGACAGTTACAAACCAGCAACCAGCTATCTTGCGCATTGGCCCTCTGATTTTGACACGGGCCGAGGTCAAAGGTTAGGCCGCAAGTCGACAGTTGCTTCTACTGTCCGGAAGACGTGCAATGTGCGATGTGGCCAGAATATCATCTGATAGAAATGCGGAAGAAGACATTCATAGGGTGCTGTCAATCTTGTAGCAGCGGAGCACGATCTAACTGCCAAGCTCTTGGCCTATCATTCGGCGGAATCTTTCACTTCCACACCTTTCAGAGCGAGTCAATCTTTACAACAAGCAATGCCAGAGATTGAAGGCAAGGCACACTTCTGATTTCAGCAGATCCGTCTGCGTTGATCACGCACTGGGAGTGCATCTTGGCCTCGCAAACTTCTTGCAGTGCTCAAGCCCAGCTGTAGGACGGACAGGGCAGAGAGTGGCTTGGAAGAAACGCAAGGCCCCAGCTCCCTTCCAGCCGGGCTGCATCCATTCCCACCTTGCGCCCAGCATCACAGCGCCGAGCATGTGCAATTAATAAGTGTCGGACAACAATGAGAAGCCAAGTCCATCACAATGGCACGGCAAAACACCCTTTTGCACAACAGCTGCAACCGTTTCTTCTTCTTTGATACGGATGTCCCAGACTCCGAGACCCAGGTTTCAACGCTGCATCACGAGTCTCTTTGCAGATGCCTGCAAACACCGTATGACAAGAGCAATCGTTGCACAGCAGTAAGCACGCAACGACTTCCAGTCGTCCCAGTCGATCTTCATCGCATCCTGCAAACAAGTACTGGAACATACTGGAACACCCCAGCCTTTGGCCGCTACAGTACACCCGCCATACAAGCCGGAATGAACCGGCATAGCATGTCAAGGTTCACCTAACACATTGGAGGATGCGTTCGGCGTCCTGCAAGTTTGGCAGCTGCCGCGGCTGCATGCGGGGGGGCAAGTCCTCTTCAGCCGAGGCCCGGGGCGATCATACAATGTGGGGTCTTCAGCAGGGCTTCAGAAGGCCACGCAGTGGGCACAATAGGCGAACAGGTGTGAACGGCAGAAAACATGAACCAGCCTCATCCTGCAGCTGCATACATGCAATCGAAAACTGTGTTGGAAAAGTTCGCATGTCCAGCCTTCGTAGGGACATTGTAGAATTCCTGGTGCAGCTTGTCCTGCAATCTCAAACAGAGATTTCACGAACCAGAAGGTTGCGTCTGCCGCTAGAATTCAAGCCCTGACACACTGCCTTCCTTGTGCTTCCTTGATCGCAGGTTCCGGCTTTGCTGCAGGGCACGACACAACCTATGAAGCACGATATGATCCTGCGTGGGCCAAGGTGACTATAGAACATTGCTTCCCGGCATGTTTTTCCATCGGACACTCTCCACTCCTGACTTCGGCGGCGGAGGCTGCAAAGGATGGCAATCGATGTATTGCCAACTCCTCTTCGCCAGAGGATGTTGGCTTGACTTTGTACAAGGGCGCCTTTGACGCCAGGCTTTCGCTTGCTTCGGATAGAAGCATCAGAAGCACCACATGAAAGCCATGATGCTCTGATATAAGCCGTGATAGACTCTTAGCACAGTGACTGCGGATATTGAAGGCAGTTGAGGCAGACAGGATATTATACAGCATGTGTTCATGAATGTCTATGCACACTCTGGGCTTTAGCCTTGAGTGCTCAGGAGGGCACATGGGATTCCTCCAGGATTCCTGGATCTGCAGCTGTTCCCACTCCCCAGCGTCTCATTCACGTCACGATCATCTGAACTCAGGTCCAAGCTAGCACCTGTAGAGCACTGTGCCGAGAGAGGGCGACGAGAGAGAATCCATCACAACTTGCATTTGCGACACCGACAGGGGCATGGAACTGTTTTTTGTGGGGAAACATTTGTGATATACCCCCAATGCTAAGGAAACACCAAGACACTAAAAGATGCGCACGTCCTAACACAACAGGCCTATACCATCAGCATCTTCGACATGGTGATGAATTTAAACCGAGGCACGCTTCCCCGTTCGCAGGGCTAGGAAAAGGGGCGCGTCCACCGGCGCCTCCTGGAAGAGGGTTCGTTGAAGAATGAGGAGACTCGAGACGCAGTGGCAAGAACTGCGACCGGTGCGGCTTGCCAAACTCTGTCCTCAACACATCTGCCAGTCCCGGCTTCTTGTTCCATTCCGGCTGACTCCAGGCCATGCCGTAAACCTCGGTGGAGATATGGACGTGCAAGTAACTCGGTAAACTGCGAAAGCTGGAGACTATGGGCATGCCGAGGGAGGCAGCATCTTACAGACAGTCCTCATGCCGGCCAGGTGACCCAGCCGTCTCTGTCCGTTGCAGCCGTTGTCTCCTCAGCTGCTGCTGCGCAAGTGCATGTGTGGCACAATCCTTTCTGAATGCTCGAAGCTTTACTTCCGAAGCTGCTGTCCACTTGGCCCCGTCCAACCGATCTTGCCAAGATTCCACTTGCCACGGGCCCACTGCCTGATGTGGCGCTGTTGAGGAGAGTGCGATACGTTTCTCAGCCACAGCTTGAGTGGACATCGACCGCGTTTTGCTACATACTAAATGCCGAACACCAGTGACTGGATTGAAGACTCAGATGCTGTGTCTAGAGTCTAGAGCTCTGAGCTACTGTAGCAAGATGAGAAAAAAACTCAGGCCACAGACCCATGCTG